GCCCTGAGCCGGTGCAGCCCCAGCTCTCACCCAGCCGGGTCCCTCCGGGCACTCTGGCCATGCCCTGGGTGAGCGTGGGAAGGTGGGCTGGGCGGCAAAGCGTAGTTGCTGGTGCGGCACCGGCTTGGAGTGGTGGCTGGGTTAGTCCCGGTGCTCTGGGTGCGGGTAGAGCTCTGGTATAGCCCAGGCAGCCCTTCGCTCGAGGCAGGTCGTCTTAAATAGGAGCGGGCGGGTGGGCAGCAGTCTGTGCAGTGAGCGGCGGGAGGGCGCGGGGCTCAGTTCTGGTCCTCGTCCCGCAGCTCCGAGGGCAGGAACTTGTACTGCTGCTGCCGGATCATGGCCAGCTTCTTCCGCGCCTCCTCCAGCTCCCGCTCCTTGCGCAGCATCTCCTCCTGGGCGGCGATGATCTGCCGGGAGAGAGCCCTGGGGTCACAGCTGCCTCCGACAGGGATGGCCGGAGCCTCGGCCGCAGCAATGCCAAGCCCAGAGCCAGGCTCTCCGGCTGCTGCTTCCCCCATCACAGCCACAGCCTCCCTGGACTGGTGTGGCCCCAGGCACAAGGGCAGTGGTCCCTGCGGTGGGACCATGGTCCCCTGGAGATAACGGGGAGCAGCACAGCTCCTGGGGCTCAGGCCCACCTGCTCTGTTCTCAGCCGAGAGCCTGTGGCCAGGAGGCAGCACTGGGACCTGTGGCACCCCACACCGGGCAGCTCTCACCCCTTAGCTGATGTTCTGCCCTTCACACGTGTGACGGACACAGGGATGGCGCAGGTACTGCACCAAGGAGAAGCCAGGGCGTTGCACTCCTGGGAGCGTGCACCATCACGGGCTGTGCCCGCTGCTATACGTGGCAGACGAGGGTGAAGCCACAGTGTTTATCTGGTGCTGGGTGGGATGGATGCACCCACAGCATTTTTGTGAGGCTCTCTGGAAACATGCCCCAATCTGGTGGGCGGTAGGACATGCTCCTGAGACAGGCACACACAGGTTGCGGTGGCAGCCACAGCCGCCCCTGCCCCATCAGAGTGGCCCCGCTCCTCACCTGTGCAATCCCTCCAACCATCTTCTCCTTCACCACCACCGTCTCATCGTGGTCCTGGAAGGCAGCGGCCTTCTGCGCTGCCTTCACCAGATTGTCCGACGCTCTCTTCACTGCGTTGCCGGCGGCCTGCAGCAGGGAAGGCAGGGAGCAGCAGCGTAAGTTCCAGCCCCAAGGTACGACTGCTGCCTAGGGGGGGTGAAGGAAGCCCTGCCCCAGGCCAGGCTGGCAGGCAGGAGAAGCAGCCAGGCATGCTGGGAGCTGCAGGCAGGGATTCCTTTACATGGCTTGCTGCCTTGCCAGCTGCTCATGACCATTTCAGGCACTGCTGCTCCCAGCCAGCCTCTGGCTCCTGTCTGAGCCGTGGGGCAGGGACTGTGGGGGGCAGCCTTGCTGACCCTTCCCAGCCCCTGGCCCCAAGGGACCAGCACTGGGACCCTGTGTTAATCCCCCAATGCATGGGCATTAACCTCTTGTCTGTTATGACCTATGAAGATTAAGGGTGCTACAAAATATGCCCCCCAAACATCAACCTTCAGAATGCCAGTGGTGCAGTGCATGCATTTGGGGAATTCATGTGCCAGTTCATACTGAATGCCACTGGGCTCAGCAGCCCAGCATCACTCACACACCTGGCACACAGCTAGCAGGGAAGTCCAAGAGACCTGGAGCCTGTACTCCAGTAAGCTCCCCGCTTATGGCATGCAGGCAGGGAGCGTGAGCCCTGGGGAGCACCCACGCGCCCTCACCCCGCTCCCACCCACCCCTCAAGCAGCCGGGAGGAGGCAGGTGGGGCTGGAGGGGCAGCCCAAGACTCACCTGGAGCCGCTTCATGGCCTCCGAGTCATGGTCAGCCTTCACCTTGCAGGCCACCAGAAGCTGTGCTGTGGAGGCAGCCACCTGCTTGGCAGACGAGATGAGCTTCTCTTCGCTGGCATGGCCCTGCACCGCTGCATTGGCGGCTTTACCCCGGTGCCAGCAGCCACCATGCGTGCCTGCGGCGAGAGAGGCTGTCAGGGAGGGTACGGGAGCCTCCCCCAGGGAGAGTATGCCCTGACTGACCCCAAGGAGGTTGTGGGGCATGGGATGGCAACAACCAGCTTCAATGCTGTGTCTCAGCTGGTGGGAGAGGGAGCAAGAAGCATGGCTGCTTCTTCCACCAAGAAGCACAAGAGCAGAGCATCCTCATCTTTGCAGCAGGAGCCACGAGGAGGGTCCCCCCTATCCCCTGCACATGACTTTGATACTCACGGCTGAAATGAGTCCCTGGGACCACTGTCCATCATCCACTGCATTGGCGGGGGAGGGGCCCACCCTCGGGGGGGGACGCGAGGAGGGG